TGACAGACTGCACAAACAACTGGGAGAAATGTATCAATGTTTCCTCATGGAAACTCAGAGGACATGGGCTGAGCACAGTATACAAAATGACTACATGGTTCATGACACTGCACATGGAACCAATCAGTATTATTTTCAGCTTCTCGTTTGAATCAAGTGCTGTTTGCAGGGCCATTTAGAAATCGTGCTGTTTTAAATTGTTCATCTACACCTGAAGCAAAATGAGTCTTTCCATTGGACAGTTCAAATCTTGCCAATACCAAGTGAGTTCTTAAGAGGACAAATATCCCATGGTCTTATTTGTCTGAGGGTGAAGACAATCCAGGAATTTTGGATAGAAAAGACCCCTTTCCCTTATCCTCTGCCATAAACTTTTCAACAGCTCACTCCTACTTGCAGCACACCCTTCTTTTCCACTTCCAATAAATATATGCTATTTGTGTCTAGTTTTTCTTCCCAATGCCTTGTGCAGTCATGGGGTGACTTCTAGAGTTTATGGTTAACTCATGATCCACTGGGATTATGGGTATGAGTGCTTCTGGGATTATGGGTGTAAGTGCTACAAGAATTATGGGTGTGAGCACTACACCAAGCCTGAGGCAGATAGCCTGAACACAACATAAAGGAGACAGACTTGTCCTCTGTTTCTGTTGTTGCCATTACTCCTCCCATTTGCTCTTTCTCTTTTCTGTTTTCTGCCACCATGATTGCTACCCTTTGTCATGTGCCACTCTGTCTTGGAGCCAGCTGCATGTGGACACAAACCTCCAATAACTGTGAGCTAAACAAACCCTTCCTTCCTTAATTCTGGGTGTCAGGTATTTGTCCAACCAATGGGACAAAAGTAACAAAGAAAATATATAATCTCATAGCTTTTTCTGTCTGTCTTGTCAAATCCTTTGTTCAAGGCACCAAGAACCTGGAAACTGCCCTGGGGACAGGCCCTCCATCTAGTAAAAACTAGGCCTTTCTTTGACCACCAATGGCCAATCCACCCATGGGGAGAACAGAATACAAACTGTCACCACCACACTCTAACCTCTTGGCTTAAGCGTGATACTGACTTCCCTTTTCCTTCACAGAACTTTCCTCTTCTATAGAATCAAGGTATCTTTTCTCAGTACATAGAGCTGAGAATCTTATATCTACTACCTCACATTTCAGTCCTCCAGCCTTTGTCAACTACTTAATGGTATTTAAGCCACAGGACACATAAAAGTGATTTGACTGATTATTTTCTATGTGTTCCCAAGGATGGTACTAACCTGTCATGTTCCACAAGCATAGGAAAGAGCTGAGTGGATTACATACAATGAAAGCTCCAGGGCCCTTAAGCACAGCCTTCACAGTTCTGAAGTTTTTGTGCTTGTTTTTTGGTCTTCTACATGATTCCAGTTTCCAGGACAATTATCAAAATACAAACCTAGTCTTGGCCTCTAAGCCACACAAATTTCCCCAGATATTTGTACAAGTTTCCCACTGGACATCTGGCCTTGTCAGAATTAAGGGACAAACATGCAGCCAAATTAGAATGTTCAAGCACTTTCCAACTTGCTTATGTGATAGAATCAGGTTTTTTTTTTAGTTTTTATTCAAGTATCAGACATCCTTGAGGACTGATGGGGAACTTCAAGTATACGACAGTTCTATCTTTGGTTATGCCAGCTGGCTCTGGAGATCATGGGTTCTGTATGGTACTGATCATAACCTTCCAAGTCATCCAGATGTAGCAGTGTTTTTGTTTTTGTTTTTCTGGGTTTTTAGTTTAGTGCAGTGTTTGCAGGGTCTACAGTATCTCACTACACAGATAAGACTCATAGTGATTCTCCTGTTTTTAGTTTCCCAACTGCTGGGATTATAAGCATGTGCCACCAGGCCCAGTTTCAATCTTTGTCTCAGTTCATCCCTGGGACTGGGCCAACATGGTAGGTTGGGGATCAAAGCCCTGACCCCTGTGTCTGAAGAGCTAGAAGTTTTTAACTTTTGCTATTGCCTCTTTTTATGACTCTGGACATCACCTGTAACTTTAAGTTCTTCTTTTCTCATTTTAATAAATGTAAATATTAGTACTATATACTGGCTCCTTTTGAATAAAATATAAACAAGTAGGTACACATAGAAGAAATAGTATTGTACCTGACAATGAATGCTAGTTCCACTCTTCCCAGAGACACAAGACATGCCCACCTGCGAGGAATGCTGTAGAACAAAGTAATTATTGATAAGTGCTTACTGATAAGTGATATGGGCAGGAGACACTATTATTCTACCTACAGTTATTGATCTAGGAAGTAAATTCTGTTGTCCATAGAATCAAATGATAAATGGTGCACTCAGAAACATCCTTTCAGTGGAAGAAAAGAAAAACTCAATGTGGACTGAACACAATTTGGAAAGAGAAGGATATATGAAGCTTGAAGGATGAGTGTTGTTCTCTTTCTGATTTTTTAATGCTAATTAACATGCACTGAAATTTAACTTTATTGTCATATAGATCTACAAATTCTAACTCAGGTGTAGTATAGCTGGAGAACTATCTTAACTATCTTGTGTATACATATTTTTTTCCTTGCCCCAATGCAGTTTATATTTTCTTTTGAATGGTTTCTTGCAACTTTGCAATATTATTGTATGGTATGGATCTTATTTACTCATTCAGTTTCTAATACTAGTGAGACAATATGATGTTTACTAATATGGACTGATTTACTTCAGTTATGAGTATGCATCATCCATTTACTTCTAAGTCTCTAGCTTACCCTTCTTTATGGCTGGGTAGAATTCCATCACATTTGTGGGCTGGAGAGATGGCTCAGTGGTCTAAAGCACCTACTTAGAACAAGCTTAGCAAAGCACAGTGGACCGCGGTTCGATCCCCCAGCACCACATGTCAGCCAGCCCCGCCCCCTGGTGGGCTGAGCTGGCCACACACACACAATAAATAAATGTAAAAATAAATAAATAATTAAAAAAAAAAAAGAAGTCCATCACATTTTAAAAAACACATCTTTTTTATCCATTCCTCAGTTCATGGGTATTTGGGTTAGATATTACAAACTGTGCTTCTATAAACATGGGCACACATATATCGCAAGGGTGTGATGTTTTTAATTCTTCTGGGAAGATACATTGAAGGGGAATAACTGGTTCAAATGGAACCTTTACCCTAGTTTTTTTTAAGGAATGTTATCACTGACTTCCATAGTGATTGCTCTAGTCCATACTCCCACAAACAGTAGAGAACGGTTCCTTTTTCCCCACAGGGCTGCCAGCATTTGTTATTGGTTGATTTCTTGATGATAGCCATTTTTTGGTGAGTGAAAAAATCTCACTGGAATCTCAGTGTTGCTTTAATTTACACCTCTCAAATGACTGATGATAGTGAACATTTTTTATGTATTTATTTGCCATTTGCATGTATTCATCTGAGAAGTAAACTTATTCATGTCAGTTGTCCATCTTTTTAAATGGATCTTTGAATGCAGAGGCCTGATTCTTTTTCAATTATTTTTATGTTCTGGATATAAGTACTTCATCTCAGGGGCAACTAGCTGCAACTTTTTTTCCCACTCTCTGGATTGTCTTTTCACTCTGTTACTCAAGCAACAAAACTAGAATCCAGTATATTTGTACTCAACTTTTAATATGTATATTTGTAAATGTAAAATAGGCAAGGATATGACATGGCTTTATAAAAAGAAAAACTTGAGTCATTTATTAAATA